AAACAGTTTATTTGTCTTGTACAATGCTCATCAACAAGGGTGGAAGCGTGTAAATTGTTGACGACTGTTCTTAAGAGGATAGAGAATTTTAACTTGGTGTTAGGGAAAGAGACAGAAGAGGTTTTGATTATGTGAAATATATGTTTAATATGTCGTACAAAATACTGAGAAGTGTACACTACATTTCTGATCATTTCACCATTTTATTTTCAATTTAAAGAAAGAAACACTGTGAAACATGTATTATTATAGTTTTAAGGCTACATATTTATAAGACGATTACCGGTGTCATAATGCTCAAAAAAGGCAGTATTATCTATGTGTCTTATGGTAGAAAAAAAACTTAAAACGCCTTTTTCTTGTCAAAAGAATATCTATGTTTGGTGCATCGGACTATTGTACATTTTCGGCATTGTTTGCACTTCAAGATAAATATACACGAATATATAAATCACGATTCACCAAACGTCGCAAGGACCAATCACAAACAAGAACATGTATAGGATTTTCTGTCTAACATATATGCTTTCGTGCACCGTATAATCACATATAATCGTGTGTTTTCTACTGACTTTCTGTTCCGGTCGGTATTTAAATTAAAAAAATTAAAACAGGGTACTAATGCTAACTACAGAGATATCTGTTGTTAATATACGATGCAACAAAACTTAAAGCACCATCAATAATAGTAAGCATGGCTGTGCGTCTCGGTATTAAATTTAGGCAGGCTATTACATATAGCATTCAACAACTTTTGGCTTTATGTAACCAAAAATTACATTGGCCGGATGTTTCATCAATCAGTTAAGAGACATGAATATTTTTTAAATATACTAAGGGACTGAACATAAAGTACACAGGGTAGGCCGGTGATTTGTGAGAGTCGTGTGTATAAAATATATGACCCTTCACAAACATTTGCATGAAATTTGCTGACCTCTCTTTCGAATAGTGCATGAAAAACTGTGACCCTCCCCTTCTAAGTGTAAAAAAGTACAAAAAGTATTACAACTGTATATACATACTAATTGATGCTCTACTACACAGCTTAGAACTTTTCTACACAATCAGTTAGCCCATCATTCACACATTCTCATTGAGAAGAATGTATGAATGTATGATACTGTATATGTACCGTGTAAATACGAAATACACATAATGGTTATAAATCCGACTGCAAGACTATATAACATACATAACTATACATAAGTTAGGTTTATAACATTTCATTCAATGCAAATACGAATGCTGAATGTTGAGGCAACACAATCAACTTGACTGTGCATACAATCTTTTACTGTGGTGCCATGAGGTTTGCATTGCATAAACAATTGCGACCCTCCCTTAAAATGCACAGATTACCGTAGCCTTCCCGCAACACTTGCACGAAAATCAGTGACCACTCTTCCAAAACACAGATCTACCCCTCCTGTACGTTCTGTCCAGTCCCTAGAGAGAAAATAAAAAAACATTTCATTTCATCATTATTAATATTAGTTTGATAGCAAACCATAATTGTGTATGCTAAGTGGGAGAATCAATATTTAATGCAGTTCTTGGTAGACAAAAAACAAGAATTGTGGGTCAGTTCTAAATCGTTTCCCAATCTAATATTATTCTAATTTGTAACATGTTATTGTTATTTTGTTGTCAGCTTGATGATTTAGATGGTTTGAATATCATTCACGTAAGCGGCACAAAAGGCAAAGGGTCCGTGTCTGCTTTCTGTGAAAGTATATTACGAGCAAATGATTTAAAAACTGGATTTTTAAGGTGAGCAGCAACTTTTTAACATGTACATCTGAATGCTACTGAACCTATTGTAGATATGTTTTGTTTCATCTTCAAAGTTCTGTTAATATATGTTATTTTGTTTACATTCCAGCTCCCCGGCTTTGATAGAACACCGTGAGAGAATACGTATCAATGGTTTACCTTTGACAAGGGAAGAGTTCATTGAATATTTCTTCCATGTGTACAAAAAAGTAGACAATCCGCAGATTTTAAATGGGCAAAGACTCATAGCGATGACTGCATTTCATGCGTTTATACAAAAAAGGGTAATGTTCAAAGTTATTGCTTTTAGACGACCTGTATATGTGAGATTAGTTTCACAATTAAATATATAGTTATACTACTCTACTTATTGTAGGTACGATTTTAACTTTCGATAGCAGACAGTTTTCGTTTTCCATTCGTTTTCGTCGTTGGCATTTACTAGAAATGTACTCGTTATTTGTTCTAACAGTCTACTCCTTACTAACGATCCACACGACATCTGCGGTAAGTTTATACACTGGGTGGTCACAGATCTCACATTTAAAGACGCTTAACTTTTTGTAGTTTATTAAAAATCATAGGTTTTTACGTAATTTAAGTTATTTTATTACATTTTCGTTTTTTGTAATTTTATGTGCAGGTTGATGTTGTTATTATGGAAGTTGGTATTGGTGGGACATATGACTACACTAACGTCATTCGACGTCCTGTAGTAACTGGCATAAACCTCATTGATTTCGATCACACAAAGTACTTGGGGGACACTCTAGATAAAATAGCTTGGCATAAAGCAGGTATATGCAAGGTACGAAATTGTACAAATATTTTCTGACTGCTTTTTTTCATAATATAAATAACACGTATTCGTGACGACAACAATGAATATGGAGCACAAAATTAGTATGCAATACAATATTTCTCAAAATTTGTGTTTACAAATATGTCAGAGTATTGAGAATATATAATGTATAAAGTGGATGAATACATTTTAACTCGTTTATTCCGTTAAATGTTTTAATTCAGCCTGGTAGACCAGCGTTCACAATAACACAATCTAAGGAGGCCATGGACACCATACTCTCTAGAGCCAAAGAGCTAAAAGTAAGTCGTATTATACGAATAAATAAGCGAGGTTACAGTTCTGCACAATATTTCTACCAGTACTATTGTTGTTCAATATTCAGTTAGTCCCCAAACGATCTAGTATTGCTGAACGTAGACATCTTAAAAGGCGTGTAAGTGTCAATGGACCACTTGAGTTTTTCAATTGTAGTGAACCAGTAGAAATGTACACACGTATCTTTACAGGCACCGATCCAGCTTGTACCTGAATTGGATGAATACGACTGGCAAGGGCATCCAATGAAGCTTGGTATAGCAGGAGATCATCAGAAACGCAATGCATCTTTAGCAATACAGTTATGTAGAGCGTGGATGGAAGAGCATACATTAAGTAAGTACTGTTTTTTATTTATTTATTTATTTTTTTAGAATGGTGTTTTGAGTAATTGTTTCAAGAAAGAAACTAATAAAAGTTATCCTCGATTGCCATAATCATAATCATAGCGATCTAAGTTCGTATGATTCTTCAGGCGTTATTTACACATAACTTTTACCTATAATGGTTATTTATAAACTGGTATACACACAACAGCATTACCGATACATACAATTATTATGAAAATGCATAATACCATTATGTTAATATTGTCATGTGTTATACAGTGCATGACCATTGAACGTCATATTTAATCTCGATCAAAGAGGATTATGGTTTGTTTATACGTTTTTTTTTTCTGTCTATCTGTTTTACAGAGTGTCAGTTAGCTGTATAACGAAACAAGTTTTTGACGATTAAATTATCAGAAAGTTTATCTCATATATCAAGAATGCAATGAGACGATTAAATAATATTTAACATAAACAAAATCATAAATACAACGATAAAATAAAATACGTACATGTCAACTGATGTAGCATACACACGGCGTTCTAGTATTTAAAATAGATACAAAGACATATATAATTGAACTATATAACATATTTAATATTGCGTGGCTGGATTACTATATACAATGTATGCTTGTAATCTGAGTTTAGTAACTCTTCGATGAAACATATTATCCATATGCATACATACACAAAAGTAATAATATTTAAAACGCTGCAGACAATATATGCCATCTAAACAATGACTTTTCTGAAACAAATCCGATCCGGTAAGAATTGTATACTTTGTTGTATGCAATGATGACACTAAAAATAAAAAGCACAAGGAATATGTGCAAAATCACTCACCGTGTTTTTAAGTTGCCCAGTCAATCATCTATGTAACTAATTAAAATACACAAAATACAAACTTGATCATAACAATAATGCCATACGGTCGTCCTATGCTGGTCTTATATGTTACCTTGTATCTTTCTCTTCCTGGTTTAAATTATGTTGCTTGATGCACTTGTTTTATAGATCATATTAGATTTTTCGTGTGTTCGACTTGTGAGTGTATTTCAATATATGACTTTTAATGATTAATATGGAAGAGTATGTTATTTTTACTTTACCAACTTGTCTTTTGATTATGTTGTTTCATACATACACATAAACTGAAACCATTGTAGCCTTCAACTCCTATGTTGCATAGTCACACGCTGAATAACCTTTAAACAAAGGACAGGCATAGGTCTCAATTGGACGTATATATTCTATGTAAAATGCAATATAATGCTACACTATTAATGTCATAACCATAACATTATCTTTGTTAGGCAACACCAGTTTTGAAAATATAAAGACCAATGACACTTTGAAACATAGTTACCCAACAGCTCCAGCATTCAAGTTATCAGATGCATTTATAGTCGGTGAGCAAATGATTTTTTTTTATTTCAGCGAATATATATTACTTTACTTGCATAATGTATTAAAAAACGTGAAACTGATATCAGTGCTTTAAATTTAAAATGTATCTCCACCATATTGCATTGGCCTATAATATGTGTGTACACTCTGCATTGTTACGAATTTTATTAAACTACGTACAATGATACGACTTTACCCAGAAATGTAGCTTACTGCAAATCACTCGTTATGACTGCAAATGTTGCAAATGGACGTGAATGACTTGTAAACAACACTCAGTGAACAAACTAAGTTAATTCCTGCCCTATATGACAATTCAAACTATCTCACATATCTATGTAATGACTTAATGGTTTCAGGATAAAGATTTCTTATATGGGAGTTGTTTTAGATGTGGTTCCCATTGTATTATTGATTGGGTCCTGTATCTACACGTAAATATAACCTCCCAAATATCACTTTATACTTATTACAGTTTAGCAGATATCATATGGTGCCATTTCAATATGGACTGTTTGGAGCTACAACTGCTCCTTTTTTTATTAAATAATCACAAATTGGTTGCATGATGTCCCCTATGTTTTATCAGTGGCCATGGCGTGTACTTTCGTTCTCATTTTGCTGGTAACGCTTATGAATTATTGGAACCAAATCAAAAATGATTCCGTTTGTTCAAATGATAATGTCTTATTATATCTGAGGCCATTGGTTCGCTCTATAATGCCTGGATATACTGCGATGGTTCTTTGCAATACCAAGCAAGAGATGAAAGCTTGTTATTACCTTGTTATGGTTCTTGGCGGATAGGTACATTTTGGAAGATAAAACGTGCTTCAAAACATAGTCGCCTACTATGTGAGAGTTGTATTGTTTTTCCCAATAATTAATTGTCGATATATTCAAGCCATGCTTGTTTTCATGCATGCATGCAGACCGGTACTTGTATTTACAATTTTCAGTTAGGTCCCATTTTATAATGTTTTGGGCTAATATTGGAATATGTTAATTTGGTGATGTCAAGTTATCCATACAGTACTTTGTAAGTTTAGCTGTTATTTATTTGTTTGAGTCAGTTGTCAATGTGGAGACATTGCTCTACCACTGTGATACATAATACAGAATTACATATAATTACATTACATATATGTTTATACTAAAATAAAAATATTTCCAATATGTGAATGTACAAACGACAAGCCTTATAATCAACAATGTATCTTGTATTATATACGTGATTCGATATCAATTCTGCCTGTAAAGAGTTTTCCAAAAATGCCATGGGAATTTTGTTATAGTGAAAGCACGTCGTTTCCATATGTACAGTCCCGATGTCAAATGCTTTTTGATTAACACCAAATTTGGGGGATCTGATGAAATAAAAAACAACAACACAATTTGATGGTCAGACTAAGTTACTGGTCGTGTTGCAATTCAGTACTTAATATTTCATATCGTATCATACAAGAGTGATTTAGTCATCCATATATGTTCTTAGAAATCAAACCTTGAATTAATGTGTAATCTAAATAATTCACTATAAATGTCAACTTTTCGCTGAACAGGTCTTCGAAACTGTCAGTGGCCAGGACGTACACAGATTATAAAACGTGAAAACGTGACGTACTATTTAGATGGTGCTCATACACCTATTAGTATCAAGGCTTGTGCTGAATGGTTTAAA